CCCCCCCCCCCCCCGCCGCCCCATCAACATCATGTCTGTTCACTTGTCTAACAAGTTCAAGGAATTGTTGTGATTCAGAAGGGATGAGTGGCCCTGGTAAACACCCGTCCCTGTCTTTCCCATAAAATTTTTTATCACTCCTCAAATCCACAACCCATTCACGCTGCTTTCCTTTTAACTGATAACCTATTTCCATGGTGAATTAAGAGAAAAGGTTATTAGATATACAAGTCCATATATTTACCCCCAATTCAGATAAAAAAAAAAAATGTTTCTAGTCCTGTCTATGACTAACGCTGCCCACCCAGGGTCTAGATTTCACCCATTCATACCTCCTCCAGGAAAAAGTGTTTGGTTTTGTTTCTATCTTTTTCCCTCTTCAGCATTTCCTTGTCTCCATCATAGCTCTCTGACTCTTTCCTTAGCACAAATATGTCAAGCCTGTTTGACTCCATATACTGTCTCCTTTCCTTCACAGTCAAAATTCTGCCAAAAGCAGGCAATATTTGTCATCACTATTTCCTCACTTTCCAACAGCTCCTTAACTGACTAAAATTTGGCATCTTGTTCCCTTTAATCTACTAAAATTAAGCCTAAGTGACAAATTCTTTGTCACTTTTTACAGTCATTATCTTAACTGACTTCTGTGACATTCCATTCTACTCATATTTCCCTCCTTCACTTTCTCCTGTTCTTCTTTCCACTGTGTACCCACCTCCTCAACAGCACACTCCTCTTTCTTCAGCACACCCATCTCACCTATCTTACCTGCTACTGTTACACACTATCAGGATAAGTTTTCTAACAAAATGGGTTTTCAACTTTTGAGTCTCAGGAATCCTCTAACAACTCTTAAATTAAAATTGCTGAGGACCCCAGAAAGCTTTTATTTTTGTGGGTTACAACTACTGTTATTCACCATTTTAAGATTTAAGAGAAAAAATTTTATAACAGTAGAATACACAATCTATAAATCATCAGAGTAATGATGTCATCACAAGTCATATAGCCTCTAGAAATATTACTGTAAACTCATGAGAGAATGAAAGTAAAAAAGCCAAATAATACCTTAGCAGTGTTACAAAAAAGCATTTTAACCCAGTGAACCCCCTGAAAGAGTCTCAGGGGGAAAGGATCTACAGACCACACTTTTGAGATCCGCTTATCTACAACCAAGCCTTCAATTAACATCTATGCCAAAGACTCCTACACCTTCATCTCTAGCCTGATCTCTTTCCTGAACTCCTGATAGTTTTTACTGCCTACAGTACCATCTCCACTTGTTCGTTCCACAGGTATTCAAACTCAGTATTGTCCAGAATTCAACTCATTACCTTCTATGCCAAATCTATTCATCTTCCTTCTGTGTTGCCTATCTCAAAGGCACTAAAGCTAGATACCTTTAAATCTAGTTATATAAACATAGGCTCCTCCCTTTCCTTCTTTATGCTAATTCGAAGGCATCAAACCCTACTGATTCTACTTTTTAAATCTAGTGGAATGTGGGAACTTTTTTGAAATACAAACTCCTACCCCAGACCCACTGACATAAGAATAGAAGTGACTAACTGATTTGCGCATCAAAGTGTGGGAAGCATGGCCCTGGGTGGTGACAGTCTCAGTAACCAAAGAAGGAGAATCTGAAGAAGTCAAGCCCAAAGGCAGACCTGAGAACCTCTTTCACTTCAAGTTTTTCCTAATAGTAAACCTTGGAGGTTTAGAGTTTTGTTAAAAGAAGGAAGTATTCCTTAACTAAGTGAACTCAGCTTTCACCTCCCTCCAATCCTATCCTCTACATTGCCACCTGTGGGAGCCTTTCACAACTCTACCTTGTTTTTTGTTTCCCCTGTTTCAAGGGCTCTCCATTACCTTCCACTTCCATGGTAAGTCCAAACTGCATACCATGAAATACAAGAGCTTCAAAACCCTATCTTTCACCCTTCTTGCATATACTTCCTATACCATAAGTTAGCAAACCAGTGGAATCACCTAGGCAGCTTGGTATTTTTAAAAGCTTCTCGGTTGACCTAAAGTTCAGTGGGGGCTGAGATTCACTGCCCTATGTCTTGAACATTTTTATTCTACAATCCTACATTTAGAAATAAAAGTCAAATTCATATATAAAGTAATTCATATACAAACTGAAGTTAAAATTTCAGTTGAAGTAGATTCTGTCAACCTAACAGTGACTATTAGGAGCTGTTCTGTTTTAACAGTAAGAGGATAGAAGGAAAACAAAGATTCTGGATGTCTGAAAAGACAACTGGGTAGGAGGACACAGAGTAGGGAAAGGGGATATTAATGACCTAAAATCATCATAAATCCTAAAAGTATGTTAACACATAATGCCCAATTGATGAAGCAAAATAGGATATGCATATTACTTATATTAAAATATGAAAATAAATACCAGGAAGAAAAGCTAAAAGATTTGAGGGCGGAGTAAGGGTGGGTGGGAGAAGACAGATATTTACTTTAAAATAAACCTTCTAGGGCCGGCCCGGTGGCGCACTGGAGAGTGCGCCGCTTGGGAGCGCGGCAGCACTCCCGCCGAGGGTTCGGATCCCATGTGGTGACCGGTTCCCACTCACTGGCTGAGCGTGGCGCGGGCGCAACACTGAGGGTTGCGATCCCATTGCCGGTCCCAGTACGGGCGTGACACCGAGGGTTGCAATCCCGTTACCGGCCAGTAAAAAAGACAAAAAGGAAAAAAATAAAAAAATAAAAATAAACCTTCTAGTCTATTTGCCCACAAAAACTATTATTTTTTTAAAATGTAATGAACCAAGGGATGGATTACCAAAAGAATAAATGACATCAGAAGACAATGGAATACTACATAAACTTTACTACTAGGTGTACCAGGAAAAACAGAAGTATTTCTATCCCGCAACGGTTTACTCTGCAAAACTTTACCTAATGACTATGAATACTTGTATTTTAATGTTTATAAAATTTCACCCCAAGGGAATTTATTAAGGTACCTACCTATATAAAGTCTGCAAATCATTTTCCAGATAAACAACTTCTTAAATGGAAAGATAAACCAAAAATAATAAAAAAGCTGCTTCTTTAAATCTTAAGGAAAATGCATAATCTGTAGTCATTTCCAAAATATTGTGCCACTAGACTTAATCATTAATTTTTTAAAAATCCCAGATATAGAACACAGAACAACAAAAGCCAAAAGATTTATCAAGGTTTTCTACTGCTGCCCCAAATGTCAAAACTTCTATACAAATAAGTACATCCAATGGTTAACCAAACTGTGTTTCATTGCAACTGCCACTATGATCTTAAGAAAATTTTTTTAAACCAAAAATATAGCCAACAGTGATCCTTGGAATGTTGTAGAGGGAAGTGGAATTTTCTTACAGACTGATTCCTCTGAAAGAATCCAAATACTACATCTATAACTTATATTGGGAATACAGGTACCTATAAAGAACATAGAAAGATATCACTGTTATAGGTGATCTAACTTTGACTGTGTTTTGCTATTTTTAAAAAACATCTATCAAAAACACCATATTTGGTGAATAGAATAGGGAAATATCTAAAATTATCTTATTGCCTTTCATAACACAAAAGCCTATGAAAGAGACATGTGAAACTACTAAATATACCCAATTCTGTGAAAATATCAAGAAATGTTCCAAAGACAAGGAAATAAAAAGTGAAAACATTCTTGATATAGTTTTAAAACTGTACTTTGACTAGAGCTAAACCTAAAATTTTTAAGGACTTAGTGTTTAAGTGTGTTAATCTGAAAAAAACTAAACTATGATAATCTGGCACTACAGGGGCTACTAACGCTTACCTCAAGGGAACCTACTGCAGATAAAGTCCCGTCACTTGCACAGTCCTTTCAGCTGCCTGCCAGTTGTCTCTGTGGAAGGGAAAGCCTGATGAGTGAGAGCCCTATGCCACACTCCTTTGGAGTGTCAGGGTGCCTGCCTAGAACTGCATAAAACTGTCTACCTAGAGATTCCTATATGCTTTCAATAACACAGGGCTAAAAAGATGCCATCTTTGAAGTTCCCTTTCCACTGAACAGTGAAACCAAATGCCTAGGAGTTACTGACTGCTAATGAACTACTGATATTATCAAGGTGATACGTCTATACTAACCCAAGCAGGAAAAAGACTAAAATGGATCAAGTAGAAATAAGTTAACATTGACAGGGAAAGCACGCACACACATACACATAAATGTTAAAAAGTTAAGTGACAGAACTGTATAATCTGAGGAGAGAAAAGGCTGTATCTACAAAAAGTGAAGTTGTAGCATCAACAAATGAATGCTAGAACCCAAAGAATTTCTTGTCTACCCATTTTTAAAAGATACCATCAAGTACAGCATATTCAAAGTGAACTATACCATGAACCCGAATGGCTACTTATAGAACCCCATGTATTTTCTTGTCGGGGTCAATAAGTGGTTGGGAGGGGAGGGAATTCCTCAGATTTTTCTTAATATTAAAAGTGAAAACCAGCAGCATGATTCTACGAGAAATTCTATAAAGAGAAAAAAAAAATGTATAACTGTATCTCAGAAAATACAAAACCCCTTACTCAGGATCAAACTAAGAGGGAAGTATAACAAGAAATAATAGAAAACTGTGAAACCCAAAGTATCTGAAAAACCACCTTCATCTCACAGAATTACAAATGGCTAATAACTATCCTCCATTAAGACCATCTGCACATCACTAATACACAAGTTCAACTACGTAACAAAAGAAACTATATTTTCTTTCTAATGCCAAATACTCATACAGTTTCCAATACAAATGTTGTGCTTCATAAGGCAGAACAAAATACTCCTATAAGAAACTTTAAAAGTATTAACCTTTGGCACAAGGACTGATGAAGAAAAAAAGCACCTATTTAATTAAAAAGGTAATTCCAGCTTCTACTTTAATAGTATCATATTTAAAATGAAATTACTTTATAGACAATACAGTTGAAAAAAAATTTTTAAAAACGTAATTACTTACCTCTGATTCTTTGTCACTTAAAGATCCTAAGCTTCCAAAACTGTGATTAGAGCTTTCATTATTTGTTGAGGCCTGTTAAAAGATTTTTAAGAAGGTAAAAATTAGAGGTAATTTTAAATAAACTTATTATAAAGTATATAATCTATATTCACAAATGAAAATAAAGTATGATTTCTTACAGCAAGAAAGTCAAATGAAGTAAAAATACGAAATACCAAGTTCCTAACACTATAAATATCTTGTAAAGTTTTAAATAATCAATAAAGTCCTGCTGTTTCAGGAGCTGACTTGTACTGGTTGATTTTTTAGAAAACCAGTTCAATAGCAAAAAATTCAGCCATTGTTAGGATAACAAGACCCCTAAAATTACTACCCAATGTATACAAACCAATGCTTCCATTAACCAAAATTATCACCTGTGCTCCTCAGGTTCCCTTCACAATTATCAAATTCCATTACATGTCACATACATACCCCTTTGCCTTTCTTCATATTAAGAGACCGTCCTTGTTTTTTTATTTTGACTTAATCTTCAAAGAAAATCTTTTATCATCTCAACAAATTCAATTGCTTTGTTCAAGAATTTCTCTATTTCCTTGACAATATTTTTGAACTGTGACAAACAGAAATGAGCTATCATTCTGTAGGACGTCTGCGTTGTTTCTAGTATGCTTCTATAATGGTTATTTTGTTGTGGAATTTGTAGACCATCAGTACATTAGACCAATGTCTTCCAGGAATGTTTACAACAGATGCTGACAGGGTATGGCATATAATATGCCAAAAAATAATACATGAATTAATTTCATGTATAGGTAGGCCAGTTGACATCCTCGTTTCCCTTCCATTTGTAAGAGCAGTTGCTAATGCTACTATCTTTAAGTTGAAAGTTGTCCTATAATTATCCTTAGATACATTTCCAAACTGATAATCTGAGTTACTGCATACACGTCCAGCACTATGCTGCACACCGGAAAGGCTGTTTCCAAGACAGGATAGCAACACAGAAAGTTATAATCTAATTACGGCAAGATTATCAAACTTGAAACAAATTACACCAACAACAGCACTAAGAAGTGATAAATTACAAAGAGTGTGGGACAATGGAAGCAGTGGTAAAGTGTTTGGACATATGTAAACCCCCACAAAAAAAGTACAAAACTAAACAGTAAACCAAAAACCCACAGACAACATTTACAACAAAACCAGGCAATAAGAATCTCCACAAAATCCCCCCAAAATAGCAGGTGGGGACAAATCACCAACAACCACAAAACCTGCATGGTATCACTATCTGTATGGGAGGACACAGAAAGAAACAGGGTATCTTTGAGAACTGAGAACAAGAGACTCTCAAAACAGCAACAGGTATTCACCAAAACCAGCACATTGATTTGAGTGCAGAAGCTGTAATCAGAAAAAATTTGCCCTTTCAAATAGTAATGTAGTGCAAGGAGTAGCACAATGAATATAAATTACTGGGTGTGGAATCAAAATTGAGCACAATAGGTACAACAACAATAAAAGAAAGAGATTATCCAGATAAAAGTGGAGAAGGGAAAAAAGCCTGGAAATCTCAGAAAGCAAATGCCAGTTTTGAAGAGTGCCCAAAAACGACAGCAGAGGGAGCTCTGTGAGAAAAGCCATCCTGAAGCACACCTCCTCCTTTGTGTCCAGGAAACCCAATTTCACATAAAAGTAAGCAACAGAAAATAATGTAGGTCAAGCACTGGCAGGTTAGCTCAGATGGTTAGAGCACGGTGTTGATAACACCAAGATCAAAGGTTTGATCCCCATAACAGCCAGCCATCAAAAAGAAAATGATATAAAGTCAATCCCTTAAATATACTTTAAGAAAAAGGAAAATAAGGTACAAACTGAGATCCTCATAATAAAAGTACACCAAGAACCAAGAACACACACACCCACAAAACAGGTGGAAACTGTAACTTACTATATCAAAATGAGCTAAAAGACATTACAAAAATGATTCAAGACATGAAAGAAAAACATAAATCAGATTTCGAAAAACTCAGAAATAAGGTAACACAACTCAGAAAAGCATTAGAAAATTAGTCTCAGAAATGAAAAGTAGGGCCGGCCCGGTGGCGCACTGGAGAGTGCGCCACTTGGGAGCGTGGTGGCGCTCCCGCCAAGGGTTCGGATCCCATGTGGAAACCGGTTGCCATTCACTGGCTGAGCGCAGTGCGGGCGCAACACCGAGGGTTGCGATCCCGTTGCCGGTCCCCGGTACACGCGCGACACCCAGGGTTGCGATCCCATTACCGGTCAGTAAAAAAAAAAAAAGACAAAAAGGAAAAAAAAAGAGAAATGAAAAGTAAACCTGAATGAACCAAAGAGCAACTATGTACAGGAGACAATGCTTGAAGAGAACTAAAAGGTAAAAAGGAGGAACATCTTTGAAAAGAAATAAGGAGACAGAAAGTATCTGAGAGAAAGCAACAACTAATGAAGCAACAAAGATTCAACACACACGTAACAGAAGTCCTGAAGAGTACTAAAACAAGAAAATAGTAACTGCAACTCAAGAAAACTTCCCTGAAAAATTTTTTAATTGAAACTGATTGATGCAACACACACCCAAGAATATCAACCTGGGGGCCGGCCCAGTGGCGCACTGGAGAGTGTGCCGCTTGGGAGTGCGGCGGCGCTCCCGCCGAGGGTTCGGATCCCATGTGGAGACCGGTTCCCGCTCACTGGCTGAGCGTGGTGCGGGCGCAACACCGAGGGTTGCGATCCCGTTGCCGGTCAGTAAAAAAGACAAAAAGGAAAAAAAAAAATATCAACCTAGAAGGCCAACATCAGATTTTTCAGACATAACACTTTATGCCAGAAAATGGAGTAACATATTTAAGATATTCAAAGAAAGAAATACGAGCAAAGTGTTTTATATTCAGTAAAATTAATTTTTAACACACTGAAGGCACAGATGACTGTTGTCAAAATGTAAACAATCAGGAAATACTGCTCCCATGAACCCTTTTTTTTTTTCCTTTTTTCGTCTTTTTTACTGACCGGTAACGGGATCGCAACCCTCGGTGTTGCGCCCGTACCGGGGACCGGCAACGGGATCACAACCCTCGGTGTTGCGCCTGCACCACGCTCAGCCAGTGAGCAGGAACCGGTCTGTATGTGGGATCCAAACCCTCGGCGGGAGCGCCACCGCACTCCCAAGCAGCGCACTTCTCCAGTGCGCCACCGGGCCGGCCCCCATGAACCCTTTTTAAAGAATCTACTAGAGAACATGCCTCAGACAATCAAAATGAATAGTCTCATCAGTCTAAGAACTGAAGGCAAGCAATAATATTTACATGTTGATAAAGATGAAATGAGAACTACAAGGGAAAGAATATTAATATTTAATGGTTAAATGCATGCAAAGTTGTTAATTGTATAACATTTTTAAAACTGGAGGATGGGGCCGGCCCGGTGGCGCACTGGATGGTGCGCCGCTTGGGAAGCACGGCGGCGCTCCCGTCCGAGGGTTCGGATCCCACATGCAGACCGGCTCCCGCTCACTGGCTGGGCGAGGCACGGGAGCAGCACCGAGGCTTGCAATCCCGTTGCCGGTCCCCGGTCCGGTACGGGGGCAACACTGAGGGTTGCGATCCGTTGCCGGACACGGAAAAAAGACAAAAGACAAAAAAAAAAAAAAAACTGGGGGATGAACTGTGTGGAAAGCGCACACACAAAAAATTTTTTTGGCTGTTTTCACTGGTCACTTTGGTCATTGTGATAGAACGAGTATTGTTATTTTGAGACTGCTGTGTGTGATACAGAATGAAGTAAATAAATAATTATGAGATATTCTAATTCTATCATCTACTTTATGTCCTTGAGAACCACAATTCTTAGTAAAGAAAAAAGAAGATGCAGAGGTTTAAAAAAAAAAAAAACCTTACAATCCTGAATTTGAATAAGTATCAATATAAATTCATGAGATAAATTTATCTTTTTAAACAAATAATAAAAATATATAGATTCCATCACCAGCAAAACAGAATACCTCACATCAGACCAATATCTCCACAGATAACTATAAATTCTGGAAAAAATATGAAAAACAACTACCTGAACAAACTTGAGCAATCAAAAGTAGGCAGAATCTAGATAAAACACTTGAAAGAAGGAAATACTTCTTTCTGGGTGGATTTCTTGTTTTTATAACTTTTGCCAGAGGGAAGGCCCTGAGAGAGTTGCACAGAGCAGCTGAAACTTGAATCAAAATCTGCATCTTACTTGCCTGAAAAACCAGATTCAGGCTACCAAAGGAGCTGTAAATTAAGGAGGGACATGCTGGAAAATGAAGTATAACAAAGGGAGATTCCCAAATTCTTCATATTAACTGTGCCCACATCTCTGGCTGCTCACTGATCTATGCAAGAGCGCTTCAGACTCTAAACAGCCCAGATAAGACTAAAACAACTGAACAGAGATGTCAGTTGCTGCCCTCCGGGAACATATAGTTTACATTTCAGCTGAGCCAAGTTAACTGCCTGCTAATACAAACAAAAACAAAAAAAATCAACACTCTCCAGAAGAATATACCAAACCCCAGAGTCATTATACTGTGTCATTCACACAATGTGCAGGATATAATACAAAATCTAAACATATGAAGAAATAAGAAAAGGTGACCCACACTCAAGAGAAAAGATAATTAATAGAGACCAACCACAAGGTAACACAGCACTGGAATCAGCAGATAAAGATCTTAAAGCACCTATTATAAGTATGTTCAAAATAACAATGGAAAATATGCTTGAATAAATGAACAAATTGGAAATTTCAGTGGGAAAATGCAAACTGTAAAAAAGAGCTAGATATAAATTCTAGAATGGAAAATTTCACTCTTTAAAATAAAAAACTCACTGGATGGGTTTAACAGCAGAATGGAGAAAGAAAATACTAAAGGAAGGTCAAAAGAAATTATTCAAACAAAAGAACAGAGAGAAAAATATTAAAATGTAATATCAGTTGGACACTACTAAGCAATCTAACATACATGTAACTGAAGTCACAGGAGAAGAGAAAAAGGAGCAGAAAAAATATTTTAAGAAATGATAGACAGAATATTCCAAAATTTGGTGAAGACATAAATTTAGATTAAAGAGCTCAGTGATTCCCTCAAGGAGAATAGTACAAAGAAAACCACACCTATGCACATCATAGTCAAACTGCTGAATACGAAAGATAACAAAAAAAATTTTTGAAAGCAGCCAGAAAAAGCACACATGAGAACAAAAAAGGATAAAACTGACAGCTACTTTCTGGTCAAGATGGTGGAGTAGACGGTTCCTAGTGTTGCTCGCTCTCACAAAACAACCGACTAGCAACTATTAAAAAGCAACAAAAGGAGACGTGAGATCTGCACCAGAAGAGGCAAGAGCAGCGTGCCACGGGACCCCAGTCCAGGCCAGTGTCTGCCGCCCAGAGAAGCCTGAGAGCCTCAGGGCCCACACACTACAAGACAGCCACACTGGAAAAGGCAGGCACTGCAGGACCTTCAGCCCAGGGTGGTCCCCGCTGCTTACAGGGACTTACGAGCCTCGGGGCCCACATGCCCCAAAACAGCCATGCTGGAACAGACAGGCGTCGTGGGACTCCGAGCCCAGGCTAGTTCCTGCTGCACAGAATTGACAGTCTCTTCAGGATCCAAGGCAGACATCAGGATGAAGTGAGTGGATTGTGATACCCCCTGCCACAATGACAAAACACCAAAGGGAAGATAACAGAAATATGAAAAATCAAGAAAGTACATCACCACCAAAGGAAAACAATAACTTTCAAGCTCAAGATCCTACAGAACAGGAAGTCTTTGAAATGATTGACAAGGAATTTAAAGCAACAATTCTAAGGAAACTGAGATACAAGAAAACTCAGACAACACAATGAGAAAAAATATACAGGATCTGAAAGAAGAAAAGTACAAAGATATCAATGCCTTGAAAAAGAATGTAGCAGAGTTTGTGGAGCTGAAGGATTCATTCAACAAAATAAAAAACACAAGGGAGAGTATAACCAGTAGGCTAGAAGAAGTGGAAGAGAGAATTTCTGACCTTGAAGACAGGCTGTTTGAATTAACACAGGCAGACCAGAAAAAAGAAAAAGAAATTTAAAAAATTGAAGAAAATCTAACAGACAATCTTAAGTGCTCAAATATCTGAATCATGGGTATTACAGAAGGGGAGGAAAAAGGAAATGGCATTGAAAACATATTCAATGAAATAATAGCAGAAAACTTCCCAGGTATTGGGAAGGCCACTGATCTCCAGATTCAGGAGGCCCAAAGATCCCCTAACATATTCAATCCAAAAAAGTCCTCTCCAAGACATGTGATAGTCAAACTGGCAAAACTCAAAGACAAACAGAGAATCTTAAAAGCTGAAAGAGAGAAGCAGCAAGTCACCTATAAGGGAGCCCCAATCAGAACAACATCAGACTTTTCATCAGAAACCCTTAAAGCCAGAAAAGAATGGGATGATATATTCAAAACACTAAAAGACAAAAATTGCCACCTGAGAATACTTTACCCAGCAAGGCTATACTTCCAAAATGAAGGAAAAATAGTGTATTTCTTAGACAAAAAAAACCCTGCGGGAGTTCACTACCACATGACCAGCCTTACAAGAAATTCTCAAGGAAGTACTGGGTTTGACACCTCATAAACAACCTTCACTGCCATGAATACTCAAGAAAGAACAAAACCTACCAGCAAAACAAAAATGCTAACAATAAAGAAAAAACATTGTTTATCTACCACCCCAAGAAACCAACAAATACAGAAGACAAACAGAAAATTTAGAAAGGAAAAAAAAGTACATAAGACATCTAAACAAAAATCAGTAAAATGCTAAGAGTAAATCAACACCTTTCAATAATAACTAAATGTGAAGTGATTAAATTCCACACTCAAAAGACACATACTGACTGACTGGATTAAAAAGATGGACCCAACCCTATGCTGTCTTCAAGAGACTCACCTGACCTGTAAAGACACACACAAATTAAGAGTGAAAGAATGGAAAAAGATATATCATGCAAATAGAAATGAAAAATGAGCTGGAGTAGCTATTCTCATATCAGATAAAATAGACATTAAAGCAAAAACCATAAAGAGAGATAAAGAAGGCCACATAATAATGAAAAAAGGATCTAACCATCAAGAAGGCATAACAATCGGGCCGGCCCGGTGGCGCACTGCTACAGTCCGCCGCTTGGGAGTGTGGCGGCGCTCCCGCCGAGGGTTCGGATCCCACATACAGACCGGTTCCCGCTCACTGGCTGAGCGAGGGGCGGGCGCAGCCCCGAGGGTTGCGATCCCGTTGCCGGTCCTGGTCCGGTACGGGCGCAACACTGAGGGTTGCAGTCCGTTGCCGGACACGAAAAAAGACAAAAAGGAAAAAAAAAAAAAAAGAAGACATAACAATCATAAATATATACACACCCAATGTAGTAGCAGCCAGATTTACAAAGCAAACACTATTGCATCTAAAGAAGGAGATAGACACTAAAACCATAATAGCAGGGGACCTGAACACCCCACTCTCAACACTGGACAGATCATCTAGACAAAAAAATCAATAGAGAAACAGAAGATCTAAACTACACTTTAGACCAATTGGACTTGGCAGATATCTACAGAACATTCCACCCAACAACCTCAGAATATTCATTCTTCTCATCAGCACATGGAACATTCTCCAGGATAGATCACATGTTAGGTCACAAAGCAAGTCTCAACAAATTCAAAAAAACTGGAATTATCCTATGTATTTTTTCCAATCACAATGGATTAAAATTAGAAATCAATAACAAATGAAACTCTGGAAACTGTACAAACACATGGAAATTAAACAACAGTCTACTTAATGACATATGGGTCCAACAAGAAATCAAACAGGAAATCAAAAAATTTCTTGACACTAATGAAAAGAATGACACATCATAAAAAAACCTGTGGGATACTGCAAAAGCAGTACTAAGGGGGAAATTTATTGCATTAATGCTTACTTCAGAAGAATGGAAAGATGGCAAATAAACAACCTAACGCTTCACCTTAAAGATCTAGAAAAAGAACAATCCAAACCCAAAGTTAGTAGATGGAAAGAAATAATTAAGATCAGAGCAGAACTAAATGAAATAGAAAACAGAAAAACAATACAAAAGATCAATGAAACAAAAAGATGGTTTTTTGAAAAGATAAATAAAATTGACAAACCTTTAGCAAGGCTAAGAAAAAAAAGAGAGAAGACCCAAATAACAAAAATTAGAAATAAAAAAGTGAAATTACAAGTGACACCTCAGAAATACAAGAAATCATTAGAGACTACTATAAACAACTATATGCCAACAAATTTGAAAATCTGGAGGAAATGGATAAATTTCTGAACACATATAAACTACCAAAACTGAGCCAAGATGATATAGAAAATCTGAACAGACCAATAACAAAAAAAGAGATTGAAGCTGTTATCAGAAGGCTCCCAACAAAGAAAAGCCTAGGACCAGATGGATTCACTGCAGAGTTCTACCACACCTTCAAAGAGGAACTGATACAAATTCTCTACAAACTCTTCCAAAAGACTGAAACAGAGCCCATTCTCCCAAACTCATTCTATGAGGCAAACGTCACCATGATACCAAAACCAGACAAAGACATATCAAAAATAGAAAACTACAGGCCAATATCCTTGATGAATATAGTGCAAAAATCCTCAACAAAATACTAGCTAAAAGAATACAGCAACACATACACAAAATTATACACCACGATCAAATGGGATTTATCCCAGGGATGCAAGGTTGGTTCAACATATGCAAATCAATAAATGTGATACACCACATCAATAAAAGCAAAGACAAAAACCATCTGATCATCTCTATAGACAAAAAGCATTTGACAAAATTCAACATTCGTTCATGATGAAGCCTCTTCACAAGTTAGGTATAGACGGAAAGTATCTCAACACAATTAAAGCCATATATGATAAGCCCACTGCCAATATCATTCTGAACAGGAACTAGCCAACGATGCTCACTCTCACCACTACTATTCAACATAGTGTTGGAATTACTAGCCAGAGCAATCAGAGAAGAAAAGGAAATAAACAGCATCCAGATTGGAAAAGAGGAAGTCAAACTCTCCCTGTTTGTGGATGATATGGTCCTATATATTGAACAGCCTAAAGCCTCTACAAAAAAACTCCTAGAGTTGATAAATGATTTCAGTAAAGTTGCAGGATACAAAATCAACACACAAAAATCAGTAGCACTTCCATACTCCAAAAGTGAACATGCAGAAAGAGAAATCAAGAAAGCTAGCCCATTTACAATAGCCACCAAAAAAATAAAATACTTGGGAATAAAGTTAACCAAAGATGTGAAAAATCACTGTTGAGAGAAATTAAAGAGGACACAAGAAGATAGAAAGATATCCCATGCTCTAGGATTGGAAGAATTGACATTGTGAAAATGTCCATATTACCCAAAGTGATCTACAGATTCAATGCAATCCCCATCAAAATTCCAAGGACATTTTTCTCAGAGATGGAAAAAGCTATCCAGACATTTATATGAAACAACAAAAGACCACGCATAGCCAAAGCAATCTTGAGCAAAAAAAATAAAGCTGGAGGCATAACACTACCTGACTTTAAACTATATTGCAAAGCTATAATAACCAAAACAGCATGGTACTGGCATAAAAACACACACACAGATCAATGGAATAGAACAGAGAACCCAGAAATCAACCCATACACCTACAACCATCTGATCTTTGACGAAGGCAGCAAGTCCACACACTGGGGAAGAGACTGCCTCTTAAACAAATGGTGTTGGGAAAACTGGATATTCATATGTAGGAGAATAAACTAGACCCATACCTCTCACCATATACCAAAATCAACTCAAAATAGATTAAAGAATTAAATATACATCCTGAAACAATAAAACTCCTTAAAGAAAACATAGGGAAACACTACAGGAAGTAGGAGTAGTACAGCCTTCATGAGTAGGACCCCCAAAACACAGGCAACTAAAGGTAAAATAAACAAATGGGATTATATAAAACTAAAAGCTTCTGCATAGCAAAAGAAACAATCAACAGAGTGAAAAGACAACCAACAGTGGGAGAAAATATTTGCAAAACATACATCGAAGGATTAATTTCCAGAATACACAAGGAACTCAAACAACTTTACAGCAAAAAAACAAATTACCCCAATAAAAAATGAGCAATGGAGCTGAATAGACATTTCTCAAAGGAAGATATACAAATGGCCAACAGACACAAGGAAAAATGCTCAACATCATTCAGCATCCAGGAAATGCAAATCATGACCACTTTAGGATATAATCTCACTCCAGTCAGGATGGCTAATATCCAAAAGACTGAGAAGGATAAGTGCTGGAGAGGTTGTGGAGAAAAAGTAACTCTTATATTCTGTTGGTGGAGCTGCAAAATGGTACAGCCTTTATGGAAAATGGTATGGAGGTTCCTCAAACAATTACAGATAGATCTACCATATGACCCAGCTATTCCACCACTGGGAATATACCCGGGAGAATGGAAATCATCATGCCCAAGGGATACCTGTACTCCAATTTTTATTGCAGCACTATTTACAATAGCCAAAAGTTGGAACCAGCCCAAATGTCTGTCAG